TGCTTTGATTCGAGATAAAACATCACAAACAAAAAACTAGAAATTGGTGACCTAAATGTAGAAATAGGGTAAGTTTGAGGGATATAAAGGAAATTTCTCTTCTTTAAAGCTAACACAAAAATAGGAAAATCAAGTAATCAAGTAATCAAGGTTTACATGTTTTAATTAATTTATAATATTAAAGAAACGAGGGACTGTTTTACAAAAACAAACCAAATGTTTAATGTCCTATGTGTAATTACCCCAATTTTACCCCTATAAAACTCATATTTTTCCTTAAACAACCATTTTAACACATGATTCCAAAACACCAATTTTTCCTTTTTGTTTTCTCTCATATCTCCAACCAGCCACAAAAAGAGCCACCGAACCATCTAAAACCAAAATTCCCACCACCATATCTTAGTGATCATTTTTCCCCTCCAACCACCACCAATGATGGTCGAAAAACTTTAATCATACCAAAATAAACCAAAAAAACAACTTGAATCCTCTTATTCTTCTTTCTAAGCCCAGATCTGAGATAAAAACTACACAACTTACCCCCCACGACCTTCAACTCTTCGGGTTCCCTATTTTCAACGACTATAAGGTGATGATTGGTCGCCACTTTTGTTCTAACTCTCCTCTCGTACCTTTAAAACCTCATACAAGACTCTAATAAAACCTTAGAGTCCCTTGTCTATTTGGCTATCTTCCCCGACGACGATAGCTCTGACAAAGGCCCTTACAAACTCATGTAAACCTGATATTTTTATTATTATTTTATTTCTTTGAAACTCATATACACATGCAAGGAAAAACAAAAGAAAATGTATAGAAAATGTCTACCTCAAAGAAGGATTTTTTTTTTTTTGATTTGATTTTTTTACAACAAAATTTGCTTTAAATTTTTTGTTTGTGGGGTTTTATACCCGTTTTTATAGAGGGTTACATGTGTCAAAAAAATCAAATTTTACTAATCTTTTGTTTTTGTCTCTTGTTTGTTGAGTGGTGATAGTGGAGACATGGCAAGGCTCACGTGCCCTGTCATTCGATTGAAATCATAGTAGAAACGGATCCGTGGGGACCAAATTTGAGGCGCGTGGAGAATAGAAAAGTCAACATCAACGTTTGGGATATTCTGGAATCAGTGTGTGCCTCAAACGCGTGGGTAGATCGACCGTTGGATCTCTTGGTGGCATACGAACCGTTGGATCAGAGGTGGGATCCAATGGTTAAGAATTGTTGGCGACGAAGACAAAATGGTTATTAAGGTAAACAATAATCTCGAAAGATTTGGATCGTTGGATTTAGAATAGATCCAACGGTTATCCCTTGGCTGCACGGATTTCCATCTCTTGACTATGAGAACCCTAAAGTCTCATTAATCTGGACTATTGGATTGGGTCAGATCGAATGATTTTGTTGATTTGTTGCTAATACAAAGGGTTATGAAACCCTAATTACTTATGCGTCTACACCGTTAGATCTTCTTTGAATCTGATGGTCTATGTTTAGTGGCGTTTTGGGGAAGAGTGGGAACCCTAATGGTTCTCTGGCGCTTTGGGGAAGAGTGGGAACCCTAATGGTTCTCTGAGTTCTTTACGCGAGACTGTGTGAATTTGGCTTTAGCTTTGGGTCATTTACTTTGTAAAATCTTCGGACTGTATTGGGTTTATTTGCTTGTATTTAAACATGCATAAGATATAATAGATTAGTATCTTATATTTTATTTATATGTTAATGTATTATATATTTATATTTTACTAATCGAAGTAAGTAATGTCTATATAAATATAATTAATCATCAAACCTTTATTTTATTTCTAATTAGCACCTGTAATCACTTCATTCCTATTCACATATACATATATTAGTATAACGTAATATAAATACTCACTAAAACCCTTAAATATTTTTATTTATTTATAGCTAAATGTAACTCAATAGTTCAAATTTAATTTAGGACGAAAATACATGTTTACAACTATTAATATTTTAATATAAAAATAATAAAATTTATCTATTTTTAAATAATTAAAATAAATTATTAAAAATAATAAATTATTTTTTAAGAATGTTAGTATTCAATTATTAAAATAAAATGTAAATATATAATTGAGTGGAGCCCTTGAATTAGTAAGGGTAAAATTCACTCATGAATTAGTAAGGGTAAAATTATAATTTTCTTCGAAACGTAAAGTTGAAAATGAAAAAAAAATCTTAACTTTTGCTGTTGGTTTGAAACCACCGTTTCAACCGCAATTTTTTTACCTATTTGACATTAATTTTACAGTCAAAACGAATTTTTTTAACTAAAAATGTTTTTAAAAAACTTTACCAAACGCACCTTAGTTAAACACGTTTTTGTTAGTAATAATTTTTCATTAGATGAAAGGAGAAGGAACGGATTACAATACGTATCTCTCAATAAAAAAAAATTAAAATTTTATTATTCTTTATTTTAATTAATTTATACTTTTAATTGGTTTATATTATTTTAATTAATAAAATCATCAAATAATTGTTACTTTTATTTTTTTCTCGCGTTTTAATGAACATGTTTAGTTGATAATCTTATTTCATTTCAATAATTAATGTTTACATTATTCATATTTAAATAATTGATATTTTGAATAATTCATGATTAAATAATACATGTTTAAATAATTGATGATGATAATTCATCTTAATAAGTTTTCAACTTGTGATTTGATAAATATTTGAAATAATTATGTTATCTAAATAGAAAAATATTTTTTATCTTAGAATTATTGAGTTCAATATTTACATCAAAAATTAAATTTCCCAATTAAAGATGTTCATATGTAAACCGATTCTACAGTATAATTGTCTTCGATTGCACATTGAATCTTTTTGTATTGGACAATCTTCAATAAGATCGTTATCACAAACAATTTATCCGACATCACCTTGTATTAATAAGACAAATTGATTCATCGATGCATCTGAATTGTACGATGATAAATAATGATTTGTGAAGAATAATAATTGTAGAGACGTCCGACCAACAGTTTCACTGTTGAAGAAATCCACAAAAATCTAAATAATGATATCAATGAATAGAAGGTCAGCAATTGAAATAGATGTGATAGTATAAATAGAGAAGCGCTCTCATTCAAGGACAGATCGAGGGGTGCTGGGAGTGCTCACCTATAAAAGATTTCATGCCACATTAAAATTTATTCATTTCAATAATAATAATAATAATAATAATAATAATAATAATAATATGATTTCTTTAATGGGAATATGAGCTGATTCTTTGTACCAAACAAATCATTTATCACAATTTTTTTCGGTTGAGCCGTACAACGTGATCATGTCAGAGTGTTTATATTATTTAGGAAAATATATACAAAAATTATTAATATTTTATCCCTTTAAATTTATTTTTAATATTTTTAATTTTATAATAGTTTTTTATGTTAACTTTTATTAAATTAACTCAAACATAATGAAACAGTAATATTGTTTTTATTAAATTAACCAATCATGAAAGGCCACATGTAACGAGCATAAGCTACAAGGGAATCACAACAATTATTTTGCAAAATGACCCATCAAATACAGTAAATATTTCATATATTGGTCTCGAATTATTAAGTCAATTTATGACAATCCTTTAAGGGTGGAATTTCGCTGGAGTCAGAAGTAGCCTAGGTCTCTGTCAATTATTTTTTTAATGTTTATCAATATTAATATATATTGAGAGAAATAAATAGAATAAGTTCTATATAAGTTCTCCGTCCAAACTAAAATAAATTTATCACCAACAATTTTTAATTATTTTTAATTTGCATATTTTCTCATACGAATTCAATTCTAAAATAAATATATTTATCTAAAATCAATCTTTATATCAATTATACATTTATATAAATATCATATTTACTTAAATGTTTAATTTGATTCTACGGAGAATATAAATAAATTAATATAAATATCATATTTAATTAAATGTTTAATTTGATTCTACGGAGAACAGTGAACAGACATTATAGCATATATATTATTAATGTTTTCAAAATAGAATTGGGTAAACTACAAGTTTAGTACCCTAGTTATCACTTTTTATGTTTTGATCACTCAACTATTTATTTTAAAATTATATCTCATATTACGTTTTGGTTTTATTTTGATCACTCACCATTAAAAATTAATAAAATTATTGGCGTGATATTTTTATTTTACTTTTCAATTATGATGTGACATTATCTTATGATGACACGTTAACATCACTGTTAAGTTTTTAACGGGTGATCAAAATGAAATCAAACTAAACATTAAATAAGCTTTTTGAAAAAGAATTAGATGACCAAAACGAAATAAAAATAATAGTTGGATACTAAATGTGTAATTTATCTTATAAATTTTTTATTAAGCTAAAGTGATTACAAAATAGTATATGTTCTAAATACTCTCAACCATTTGATAATGAACGCTCAATCACCCCTACTACAGTTGTTGATGCTTGAATTCGAGACCTAGATAATTTGGTTCGTGCTATCTTATAAAAGTTTGGCTAAACCAAAGCTGACTTGCTTACTTAACAACATAAAAACCCAGCGCTTGCCTTGATTACGCGTGCTTTGCCTTCAAGCCTTTGGAGGAGGATACTTAATTCGATTTCTACCACCACGATCAAGAACGAACGTATAATTTTATATTAAAGAACAAGTTTATAAAATTTTAAGAATAAAAACATATTAATAATAAAATATACATATAAAAATTCGTAAATTATATGAAAATTTTAAATTTGTAAGAGATGATCGACCTTTCAATTCTTCGGTTTGTCCCTCTCTATGACACTAGCTGTGGAGCAGCTTTCTACTCATCATGCTAGTTGTTCATGTGACAACTATGTATGATTCCTTTCTCTAAATTCTCAGAAAATCAAACAAAGTGAAAGAAATGAATCAACCAAGAGAATAAATGAAAAAAAGTAATTGCCAGAAGCGTGGAACCCAAGTCATATCGATAATTAAATGTGCATGGATGCTTCATTACCAAGCACAGCCATATTGATCACAAAATCTAGCCAAGCAAGGCAGATCAATCCGAGTTAGCCATGAAGAAGAAGAAGAAACCAAATTATTCTCTCTATTTAACTCACTAATAGACTTTTGTCTCTGTCTGCTTGCATGCTATAGACTTTGTGATGATGACATTGCACTCTTCCTCCTCCACCCTGGTAAATATCCAGGCAAAACACATCCACATTGTTGGATCGGATCGATACGATCGGAAGTATTCACTAAAGCTTACTTCTAAGTTCCTCAGAACGCCCATATCCAACTCTCTCCAACCTCCGGTAAATCAGGTCAATCCTTCTCACACTTTGAGTATTAGTTCTGTGTTCCCTATCGTCGTTTCGCCTAATGATCGAACTCGTTCGATGGCAGAGTGTTGCAGCAATAGTATTCGGAGACGGATCGGAATCGAGGCTATACCCCTTGAAAAAGAGAAGATCAGAAGGGGCTATTCCCATAGCATCAAACTACAGACTCATTGATGCAGTCGTTAGCAACTGCATCAACAGCAACATCAATAAGATATATGCCATGACACAATTCAATTCCACATCCCTCAATTCACACCTGTCAAGGGCCTATTCCGGCGCAGGTCTCGGGAAAGAAGGGTTCGTCGAAGTGATTGCAGCGTATCAGAGCCCCGAAGATCAGGGTTGGTTTCAGGTATCACACTGCCATTACAGTGCACATAGTAAAATCAAATGATTCTAACTTAATGTGTACCAGGGAACAGCTGATGCTATAAGAAGATGCCTGTGGGTACTAGAAGAGTACCCGGTGGTGGAATTTCTGGTCCTTCCCGGCCATCATCTCTATAAAATGGACTACCAAAAGTTGATTGAATCTCACCGGAACAGCAAATCTGATATAACTATTGTTGCTTCAAATACTATGAGAGATGAAGATGCAGGTTTTGGTGTACTCAAAATAAATGCAGAAAATCAAGTCATGCAATATGGTTTGAGGTCAGATAGAGAGCCCCAGAACTCTAAAGTTGTAAGCTATCACCATCGACTTTACTTTTCTCTCATTTTGATCTCCTATAATTACAATTAAAATAATTATATAGAATAGGGTAAACTACTACCAATTATTCTTGCATTTCTGTTCTTATCATCCAACTAACTTTTTTTTCGAAATCATATCACTTGCCGTTAAAAAATTAATGGTGTATGTCATGACATCATTGAAAAAATTAAAAGAAATTATCATATCCTCAATTCTTTTTTATTAACAACGGGTGACTAAAACAGAACCAAAACATAAATTTAGGTATAATTTTAAAAAAAAATACTTGGGTAAATGGAACTGTAGAAATAGTTGAGTGATTAAATACGTAATTTACCCAAAAATAAATATCCCTAATGTTTGAGTAAATAGTTATTTTGACCCACTATTTTTCTAGAGCAAACAGACCCCTCAGTGTATAGAAATTATTGGTCAAACAAATGCTCAAAGCTCCAAAATATTAGATTTTTGTCCTAAAATAAAACGCAAGGCCAAATTGCTCAAAAAAATTAAGGGTTAAAGTGACTATTTCGTCAAATGTTAGAGGTCTTCTTACCCTAAAATAAGTCGTTAATAGTCAAAATGCTAAAAAAAATTAAGGCAAATTATTTGTTAAACGTTAGGGACGTATTTTGGCGTTAGGACCTTACAAATACAAGAACTCCCCTTGATGATTTCTTGTGAAAATTGTTTTCAGGCTGAAGCTTTGACTAGATTGAGTGAAACCAATTATAGGTGTATTCCAAGTATGGGAATCTACCTCATCAACCGAGCTACAATGGTGAATCTCCTGAATCAACATTTCCCCAAGGCAAAGTACTTTGGGACAGAAGTGATACGAGGTGCATTATCTCTAGGAATGAAGGTCCTCAAACTTCACTAATTAATGAATATATATACATAAATTCATTCATTTCACCACATAATGAGAGGATCCTGTGCATTTCTCCACAGGTTGACGCATATCTGTTTGAAGGGTATTGGGAGGACATGAGGAGCATTGAAGCATTTTACCAAGCAAATATGAATTGCATTAAGATATCAAACGTGGGATATAAGTAAGAATCTGTGACAATGTTAATGCACCATTTTGCTGAATAATTTCCCCCAAACTAACACAAACTTTGGTTGCAGCTTCTGTGATCGAGATTCTCCGGTCTATACGATGCCTCGATATCTGCCTCCGACGATCGTAAACAACGCCGTCATAATGGATAGTGTGATCGGAGATGGTTGCATTCTCAACGTATGTATGCATGTTTTAGGTGCATCATGCATGAGCAATCGAAGAGATCGCTTTTGTTGTATTTGATCATGCTTTTAACTCGATGTGACAATAGAGGTGCAAGATCAAAGGTACAGTGGTGGGCATGAGGACGAAAATTGGAGATGGGACAACCATAAAAGACTCGGTGATCATGGGCTCTGATGTCTATGAGGTACGTAAGTATGCATGCATGTATGTATTTAAGGGTTTTTCATCCACAAACTTCATATTTACATATGTTGACTAGTGAGCTGGTGTTGGTAATAGATTGAAGATGACGGAGAGAGCAACACCAACAGTAAGAGCGTCCCGATTGGAATCGGTGAGAATACTGAAATTAAAAAAGCCATTGTAGATAAAAACGCAAGGATCGGAAAAAACGTTAAGGTATGAACCTACTCTCGTTGGGACTCTAAATGAGACGTGATATACTAAAATCTACTCGAATTTGAATAGGTTAAACTTTAGTCAACATTCAAATTGAATGAACTCGACTGAGTTCGAACTCGATTTGAAATCTTAACGAATCAAAGTGAATTACTTGACGCCCAACTAAAAAAACTCGTGGATAACTCAAAAAAAATATTAATTTTTTATTTTTTTAAAATTAAATTATTAATAATATTAACATTTATAGATTGTTGTTTTTAAAAGTAATATAAGATTTTCATGTACTTAAGATTCAAGTTTGAGCTTCAACCGAGCTAAGCCTGAAAATGTTTTGAGTTCAAGTTTTTACGAGCTCGAGTCGAGCTTTAATTTTTCATTTCGAGTTCAAGTTGAACTTGATAATTTTATGCTCGTGAGCTTTCGAATTAAGTCTAACTCAACTTTAAATTTTTCGAGTCGAGTCGAGCTCAATGATATTCAATCTCGACTCGACTCATTTACGGCCCTAACTCCTATGTGGAAGCCTTTTTCATTACTTACAGCTGAATGATGTTTTGTGTACGGGCAGATAATCAACAAAGATAATGTTGAAGAAGGGGAGATGGAGGGCATTGGTTATATAATCAGTGGTAGAATAATGGTGGTTCTTAGGAGCGCAGAGATTCCAGACGGCAGCATCTTATAGTCATGACGACTAAGATTTAATTGTTTATTCAAAACCAAAATTGTTCATTGTTTAGTTCCAAAGTGATTCTCTATGTCCTTTGACACAAAACAAGCACATACTGATGGTTGTACAGTACATCTCAAGTCTCAACACACCCATCACTTCCTCCTCTACTAGTCTACTGCAATAAATAGCACTTTGAAAGTTTTATGTACATAAATAATAATTAAAGCCAAAGAATAGAATTATACCTTTCATTTCTTTATTTTAGGGTGTTGACTTGCATTTACTCCATCTTACGGCCGCATAACCTCTCGAGGGGTCGAGATGTCTCTGTTACGATGCTGAGATACATTATGTTTTGACTAAAATTGAACGAATTGATAATATAAAGGGTTAACAAAACTATTTGTTTTAAATCTTTGACCAAAATTAGATAAAATGAGAACATAAAGACCATTCGTGTAATTTGCCTTTTATAATTTTATAATCAATTATCATTATTGCTTCAACCAATCAAAATTGACACGTCATCAAACATTTTTTTTTAAATTTAGTTCTTCACTATGTCTACATCATTAATTGAAGATTTTATTATTTTAACGAAGGGGTCTATAATGTCATAAATTATAAGATTTTTTTTTAAAATCTCATAGTATTTATATTGGGTAAAGATAATTAATCTCTCTCGTCATGAATCATGATTGATTTTTGAATTGATAAACAATGGTTAAATATGTTCAATTTTTATAAATGGCGATTAAAACCTTGATCATGTGTTCAATGGATAAGGTGATCAATCATCATGTCACGTCTCTTGATTTTACATAGGATAAATTACATGTTTAATATTTAAATTATCAATTTTAATTTATTTTATTATCTAAACTTTTAGTTTTTTCAAAATCATACCTAAACTTTAATTTTTGTTTCATTTTAGTACTCGTTCAAAATTTAACGTTAAGTTTTGAAAAAATAAATTGAAAGTTTAGGTACTAAAACGGATCCAAACTGATAGTTTAGGTTACTAAACGCGTTAAGTTTTTAACGATGGATATTAAAGTGAAACAAAAATTAAATATTAGGCATAGTTTTAAAAAATTGAAAGTTTAGATACTAATACTAATCAAAACTGGTAATTTAGATACTAATTATGTAGTTTACCCTTTTACATATTATAGTTTAGGTGACTGGGTCGAACAAAAAATACTTTAGGTATTTACCCAAACAAATGCTATATTTGGAGGACTTATTATTGAATTAAGCTTTTTATTTTTTCCGATCTAATAAAGTCCCCGCGTCCCTTTGTAAACACTCTGCTGGCTCTGGTTTTTAACCACAAAACATAATCAAGATCAAAAAACAAATTCTCTTCTTGGCTGCTTGCAGGTAAATCTCAGAGCTATTCTCTGTAATGCTTTTACTCTTTTAATTTCTAATCATCAATACTGGAAAGATGGTGGATCGGATCGTCATTCCTCTACCAAAAAGATGAGTGATTTGAAGTATTTGATCAAAACAATCGTCCTGTAAGATTAGGAATAGAAGTAGTATGGTAGTACATGAAAAGTGTATATAATGATATTAGCATTCCAGATCTATATGTTATTGTTGTTTTCGTTGACATTTTTTCAGTAGTATGTTAGAAATTGTTACGTATGAAACGATGATGATCTGGATCTGGATCTGAATGTTTTGGATGCTGTTTTACGATTTGATGATTTTTATGTCTCAGATCACTATCTTAGATCTAGCCTCTATGTTTTTCGATCTTGCTTTAATTGACATTCGAGGAAGGATTAACGATTTATGTTACTAACTTATTATTTGGTATTTAAGTCTTCCTCTACTTTCTCTTTTCTGGATTACTTGATTTGATTAATTACTTGTAAGCTTTGTGATTAAGGTATGTCATCGTCCGATAAGCCAGAAATAGTTGACAGGGGTTTTAAGGACAAGGAGGGTGACGATGACAAGGGTGGATTTATGGATAAGGTCAAGGACTTCATCCATGACATCGGTGAGAAGATCGAGGAAACAATCGGCTTTGGGAAGCCGACTGCAGATGTAGCTGCGATTCATATCCCTTTTATCAATCTTGATAAAGCAGACATTGTGGTTGATGTCCTGATCAAGAATCCGAATCCTGTTCCAATCCCCCTCGTCGACATTGACTACCTCATTGAGAGTGATGGAAGGAAACTCCTATCCGGCTTGATCCCAGATGCTGGAACCATCCATGCTCATGGCGAGGAGACTGTAAAGATACCAGTTACTTTGATATATGATGATATCAAAAGTACATACAATGACATTGAGCCCGGAAGCATCATTCCATATAGGCTGAAAGCTGATCTCATTGTTGATGTTCCTGTTTTTGGAAGATTAACTTTACCGCTCGAGAAAACTGGGGAGATCCCCATACCTTACAAGCCTGATATTGATCTGGAGAAGATACACTTCGAGAGATTCTCTTGGGAGGAAACTGTTGCAACTCTTCACTTAAAATTGGAAAATATGAACGACTTTGACTTGGGACTCAATTCACTTGACTATGATGTCTGGCTATCTGAAGTGAACATTGGAGGTGCAGAACTCGAAAAATCCACAAAGATAAGCAAAAAAGGAGTCAGTTATGTCGACATTCCTATCACCTTCAGGCCAAAGGATTTTGGATCTGCCCTTTGGGACATGATAAGAGGAAGAGGAACGGGTTACAGTATTAAAGGTCATCTTAATGTTGATACTCCATTTGGACCAATGAAATTACCCATCAGCAAGGAGGGCGGCACAACTCGCCTTAAGAAGGATGATGATGACGATGACGAGGTATGTTAGTTCTTTGGCTAACCTGTTAAGTATTACTGTTTCAGCCTTGGTTGGATTGTGTTTACATTGCTATTTATAGAATCCACGAGTACAATTTTTCATTCTAATTGCAGGATTAGAGCAAGGCTGGCCCCCTTGAGCATGTTTTGCTTCATTACAGACAGTTGATGGCTATAATACATTATTAAATGGTGTGTTGAAGTTGATGTTTAAATTCTGATGGTAAGGATGTACTGCAATCGTGGAAGACTTGGTACCTATAACTATGCATTTTTATATATTATGCATTACGTATGTCTGCATGAATGGGAGACTGAACCCGGTGTTTGATTTTGCCTAGCAGCACTCATGAATTTGCATTTGAATCAACTGTTATATTTATTTTAGTTTGATTCAGGCCGTCTTATCTTAACCTTTGCCTTCTGCCTATTTGAATAGAGGGTTATATTTGCATGCGGTTCATTTTTTTGAAAAAAAAGTGTTTTATACTATATCTAGGCTTTTGAAATCTAAATATCACCAAAAATAAAATAAAATAATTATGAAAACAATACTCATTTCAGATTATTTCGCAGATTGACACTATTTTCTATTGGGTAGGGGTATAAACGGGCCGAGTCGAGTTCGAGTATTGTTGAGCTCGACTTGACTCAAAAACTTGCGAGCTTAAAATTTTCAAGTTTGACTCGAACTTGAAATCTTGAATTGAAGCTCGTGAGCAGTTTGAAAATGTTCGAAATGAAAAAAAAATCTTAAATCTAACTCGATTGAAGCCTCAAACTCAAATTCGAACTTGAACCTTAAATACATGAAAATGTTATTTTATTTAAAAAAAATCAATGCATAAATGTTAATATTATTAATAATTTATTTTTTAAAAATTAAAATTTTAATATATTATATTTTCGAGTTGTTCACGATTTTTTTTAATCGAATATCATATAATTCGTTTCGATTCGTTAAAAATTTGAGTTAAATTAAAGTTAAATTCATTCAATTCAAATATTTATTGAATTTTGAGATAATCGATCTCGAATAATTTAGTATCTATCTATCTCAGATTAGGTAAAGGCGTTGCGTGAAAAGGACCTTTAAAAATGTGTGTGGGACACGCCTTCTACCTATATGGCGACATACAAGTGGTGCTAAAATGAAAGAAAGAGAAAGAAGGGATAAAAAATTGTGTCAAAAGAATAAACACGGCCGATATGTCAAAGGCATTAATTGCACGTGTTTATTATTTTTTAATTAAATTTGTATATTATTTTCATATTTTTCTTTTATTTTCTTTTAACTTATTTTTTAAAAATTTTGATCCATTTTTGTCACGTTAGCTAAAGACTTTTCTTATAAAAAATATATTATTTTATGAAATCTGTCTCTATTTTATATGAAAACAATGAGTGTCAATTTGAAAAATAATCTAAAACAGATATTATTATCTGTATTATTTTTTATTTTGATGATATTTAAGTAAGTGGAAAAAGTCGGCAAAATTGGCTCAATAAGATACATGAGTTTTTTATTTAGTCTATTAGAACAAGTTATTACTTATTTTGGGATTTATGGTCTTTTCTATAATGACATGAAACTTATTATGTCGAGATGATAAGTTTTAATAAAATTAATTTTTTTATTTTAACTTTTTAACTCGATGTGATAGATTTTAATAAAAAAAATTATTTTATTCGAACTCGTATATTTTTTATTAAAACTCGTCATTTCGATGTGACGAGTTCTAATAACACTGTAAAAAATGTGATAGATCTCAAAATAAATTTTAACTTGTCCTAATGAGTTAAATAAAAATCTGTTATCTTTATTGGGTTAAATCGACCGGAAAAAATAGTATATTTGAGGAATAGAACCACAAGGAGGATTTGTTTTGCTAACATGCCTCCCCAGACAATACTCTTGACAATCAACAGTCGCACGTGTCATATAAGGGTCACATTGAAAATCTATCTAGAGACATTTATAGGACGTTCCCTTGTTTTGCTAATATTATTTTCTTTTAATTATACAATCATCCACAATTTCTTAATAAATATAACGATTTATATATTGAATAAAATTTTATTTCTAGCGTTAATTTATAAGTAAATATAATATTAGATTGCGGTCTCTGGCTCATCATCAATCTAAGGCGATCCTTGAAAATTCATTTAAATTATAACGGATGAACCTGA